TCACAGACTTGTGGGGGGGGTTGTGGCAACCAAGGTTATTAAGCACACTATGGCTATGAGGGTGAGGTACAGGGTGGAGGGATGAAGGCAAGCATGGAGGGTGGTCCCCAGCGTGGGAGAGGAAGTTGGGAAAGCACTGTGCCCACTTCTCCAAGGCACGTTCCACCTTGAGTACCTCAGTCATCTTGTTTAGTATGTTCCCAGCGTGAGTGGAGGAAATTCAGGGACTCTCCAGTCCCTGGTACCCAGGCTTCCCTTCCAGCCTCCTCGCTGGGTCTGAAGGACCCTGGGCAGCTTGCCACACACACCACCCCCAGGCCCTAAGGGGGCGGGGTTTAGTTACCACCTGGGACTCTGGCTTATCTTGGACTCTAGGCATTTCTATATCTGGACAGGTTCCAAAGGTAGCCTCCTGCTCAGAGCTGCAGGACCCACCCAGGTGGAAATGCCCTCTGATGTAGGCAGATAAGCCTTGGCAAACTGGATGAAGCCCATACTTCCAGAAAACATTGAGGGGTGTGAGATAAGGAGATGCAGGAGCTGTGTCTGCTCTCACTGAGTCTGCATTGGGCTCCTGTGAGCTGCTTTTTGTGTTGTCTCTGTAGTACAGGTAAGAAACTACAGCTCGGGGCTGGAGAGATGGCTCAGCAGTTAAGAACACTGGTTGTTCTTATAGAAGACCCAAGTTCAAATCTCAGCACCCACATGACAACTAACAACTATCTGTAAACTCCAGTTCCAGGGTCTCTGATGGCCTCTTCTGTTCTTCCCGGGCATTGCACGACACAGGTGCACTTACCTACAATACACTCATACACATTAAATAAATTAATAATTAAAATAAAATAAAATAAAAAAGAAACTACAGCTCAGTAAACTGGCATCATAGAGAAGTACTTAATTGTGCATCTCAGAGTGTGGCCCTTGGACTACCTCCTTCCCAGTCACCTAGATCCAGTGGTTGACTCTTGGTCCCATCCCAGACCAGCAATTCTGAATCTCTAGAGGCAGAACTGGATTCCAAGTGATGTTAAGGGAGCTTGGGGGTGATGCTGGAACTTTCCTTACCCCCACTGTGGAGAACCGAGAGGTTAGGAGTCTGGTGTGCTTTGGGAATTAGGAGTAGAAGAGGCTAAAGAGAGGTCATCTTCAGGCTGTAGCTGCCTGTGGTATCAGTGGCAGAGTTCAAACTGGTCCTTAGGTGGGACTTTTCCTTGTGAATTCTCAGTGTAGCCCCGTGTCTAACTCTGGGTTACAAATGTGACACAGCTCACAGCTGCAGAGTTACACACATTACCACAAACTTCTGCACTAGTCCACTGTGTCATCATCACCTTCCCTCATTACAAGACATTCTAGGGAGCAGCTTTAGGCTCCTAATTTCCTACTGACTGCGAAGGTGTTGCCCATCCCATGTGTCTTCGCAGGCCTATTGGGAAGCCCTACCCGAGAGCTTCTTTAGCATCACATCCCGCGTGGTAAAAGGCTGCTGTGGTTTCCTGTTCTTGAACAGTGTAACAGTAACTTCGTTTCCCTTTTCTCTTTGGCTACTAGGAGCCTTAGTGCTAAATGTGCAGCCCACCCCTATGGCTGTGAAGGTCTTATGACCTGCTTATATGAATCCTTTTCTTTCTTGTGTAGATGTCTTCTTCAGATTGGTTTCTCTGTGCTCCTGATTTTAATGTTTCTGTTTGACCACTTTCTTGTCTTTGTGTTTCCTCACCTCTTATGGAACCAGAATGAGGGTATGTAAAAACAATGAACATGCAAACACACATGGAGTCATCTTCACACTGCTTGGCTGGCATGCTGCCACATGGCTTCTCAGCTTCATGCGTTTGTTTGCCTGGTCCCGATCCGCTGGTCATTAGGACATGCCTGTGACTGGTTAGGGGCTGCTTTTTGCTTGTTTTTTTGTCTTTGTTTGTTTGTTTGTTTGTTTGTTTTTCTCATCAGCTGCCTAGAATTTTTAAATAATTTCTTTCTAAACCCATTAGTTATTCAAAGTATAAACAGTACCCTGACGGTGGGTATTCTTTTTTCATCGTCTCTCAAATTTATTTCATTCATTTTATGCAAATATAACTCGCTTATTGTAAAACTCCACAAATAATAAGTAAAGAGGAGCAACAAATTACCTGTGTTCCTGCCAGGGGTCCCATGTATCAGTATTTTATGCTGCAGTCTTCTGGATTTTCCTCTCTGTTTATATTTTTTCTCAAAGTTAAAGAATCTGACCAGATAGTTATTCTGTAAACTCCGTTTGTGCTTTGTGGTAGATAATTAGTATCTCTCCTAATTATTACATATTCTGCAACATGAATTAGACTTAATATTTTCTCAATGGTACATGCAAATAATTTTTTCCAGGCAGCTCAGCTGTTCTCTGCTCAATTTTTATATATATAAAAAGCATAAGGGGGGGGGGCTGGAGAGTTGACTCAGCAGTTAAGAGCACTCACTGCTCTTGTAGAAGACATGGGTTCAGTTCCCAACACCACATGGCAGCTGACAACTGTCTATAGCTCCAGTTCCAGGGGATCTGACGCCCTCTTCTGGCCTCTCTGGGCATTGCATGACATGAATACACTTACATACACATAAAAAAAAAAAAAAAAAAACTTGGAAAAAAAAAAAAAAAAAAGCACAAGGGCTGGCCAGATGGCCCAGAGGGTATAGACACTTGTTGCCAAGTCTGACAACCTGAATTCAGTCCTCCTTAGGGTCCACATGATAGAAGGGGAGAACCAATTCCCACAATTTGTCCTCTGTTGTCCGCACACACACATAAAACACAAATAATTAATTTTTTAAAAAGTTGTAAGCATGAAAGGGCTTTCGTAAAGAGTCAGGCCTGTCTCAGCCATTCCCAGTCCCATGCCTGACTAAAAAGGGCAGTTTTGACTCATTTAGAGCTCTTTTCTACCACTCTTTCACTCATATATTGAAGTAAAATGCTCACGCCACCATTCTGTATTTACCTGACTTCTTAGCTTGCTGCTGAGGAAGATGGGGCTTTCCATCATTCTTCACCCCCCTTACACACTCTGCACCTCATCTCCTTTTTTATTTAATTACCTTTGGAACTTAAAATAATATGCCTGGGCTGGGTGAGGTGGTGCATGCCTGTAACCCCAGCACTCACCAGGCTGAAACAGGAGGATTGTGAGACCATCCTGGACCTCAAAAAACCAAAACAAATAAGCAAACCCCACTTGCGCTAAAGTTATAGTCAAGTTATAGTCAGGGTCCATCCACAATCAAAATAATAATATGTTTAAATATCTATCTTTTTTTTTTTTCTTTCTTTCTTTCTTTTTTTTTTTTTTTTTTGGTTTTTTTGAGACAGGGTCTCCCTGTACAGCTGTCCTGGAACTCACTATGTAGACCATGCTGGCCTTGAACTCACAGAGATCTGCCTGCCTCTGCCTTCCAAGAGCTGGGATTAAAGGCGTGCGCCACCATGCCCAGCTAATATTTTTTTAAATGTTTGATATAACCCTCTTTGGTTTTGTTGTGTACACCTCTACATATGTGCATGTGGGCTGCTAAGGATCAAACTCCAGCCGTTACACATGCTGAACAAGCGTGCTCTGAGCCACATCCCCAGCCTCAAGCCTCTTTCCTTCATCAGTCAAGTACAGCATACTGTGACCCTCACTGTTCCTGGGAGGGATAGACAGACCATGTTGTCTGTCTGTGGTGCATTCATGTTTCTGAGGTTAAGATTAAAGACGTTCATGTTCTGTTTAATAACCATACATCTCCATGAGGGCTAGGGGCTGGGGCTCAAAGCCAAAGTCGGGGGGCAGCACTTAGGTTTCCTTCTTTTGGGCAAGTACAGCATACTGTGACCCTCACTGTTCCTGGGAGGGATAGACAGACCATGTTGTCTGTCTGTGGTGCATTCATGTTTCTGAGGTTAAGATTAAAGACGTTCATGTTCTGTTTAATAACCATACATCTCCATGAGGGCTAGGGGCTGGGGCTCAAAGCCAAAGTCGGGGGGCAGCACTTAGGTTTCCTTCTTTTGGGGTCAAATGCATGCAAAGGGATTTTTTTTTTTTTTTTTTTTTTTTGGTTTTTTTAGGCGGGGTTTCTCTCTCCTCCCCAGCTGACCAGGAAATTGCTATGTAGACCACACTGGCCTTGAACTCACAGAGATCCACTTGCCTCTGCCTCCTGAGTGCTGGGATTAAAGGCATGTGCCACCACCCTTTTTTTTTTTTTTTTTTTTTTTTTTTTTTTTTTTTTTTAAGGCAGGGTCTTGGGCTAGAGAGATGACTCGGTGGTTAAGAGCACTGGCTCCTCTTTTAAAGGACCTGTGTTCAGTTCCCAGAACCCACCTGGCAGCCAATAGCCATCCATAACTCCAGTTCCAGGGGTTCCAACACCCTCTTCTGACCTCCACAGGCATTGCACGTACAGGTGTACTTACAAACATGCAGGCAAAACACTCATACATATAAAATTTTTTAAATTAAAAAATTTTTTTTAATGTCAAGGACTTGCTAAATAGCTCAGGCTGGCCTGGAATTTACTGTATAACTCAGGCTGGCTTCAAACTCGGAATCTTGCTGCCTCAACCTCTTGAGTACAGGATTACAGGGTTGTACCACCACACCCAGCTAGACCATGTCTTTCTTATACTCCTTTGTTTGCTTATTTTCTGAGTTTTCTAATATGGTGTTGTTTTGCCAGCTGTGTACTCTTCCACTGAATGGAGTATCATAATTAATTTTCACCCAGTTCCCTATGCTTGGACTCTTGGGTTTCCAGTTTCCCATTCATGAGAATAGGGCTGTAATGAATGTTCTTCTATATGTATCTCTGTGCATTTGTTTCTTACAATGTTTGAGAGTCAGGAATGGCTCTCCTTTAAAATCAACCTGGTGCCCTAACCCAGTGCCTTCTACCACTCTGAAGACCCTCCTTTGATTAAATTGACTCCATTGTTTGGGAGAGGTAGCCCCAGGCAATGTCCATGTTCCACTCCCTAGGCTCTGAAGAAAGGCTGATCCGAAAATTTGAAGCTGAAAACGTTTCCAACTACACAGCCCTTCTACTGAGCCAAGATGGCAAGACTTTGTACGTGGGGGCCCGAGAGACCCTCTTTGCACTCAACAACAACAGCTTCCTGCCGGGTGGAGAGCACCAGAAGGTGAGAGGAATTGTTAAGGGCTGGCTAGGTGGGCAGAGGGATGGTGGACAGGAAGCCTGCTGACTCAAGGACCCTACAGATAGGGGAGGAGCCCAGCTCTGAACACCCTCTGTACCCCTCTTATCTGTTTCCCTTCTTCCCTAGCTGCTGTGGAGTGCAGACGCCGACAGGAAGCAGCAATGCAGCTTCAAGGGCAAGGACCGGAAGGTGAGGCAGGCACTGAGGTCATCGAGGCTGAAGGAGGGTGAGGGACATGGACAGAGCACTATGCAGATACAGCCAAATGTAGTAGAAAGAGCATAGCCTCGACATATCCACCATTCAGGTTGAATCCCAGCCCTAGCCTTATCATGCTGAGCCTCAGTGCTCCCACCTGTAAAATGGGGACATTGTGCCTGCCCTCCTGTGTGAACCAGTGGATACAGGGCATGTGGCACATAAGAAACATAAGAAACAGATAAACCTCACACGGGAACTGGGTAGGGTGGGAATTAAGTCTGTCTATAAAGGGCCTCTGATGGAGGAGCAAGTCTGGCAGATTATAGTCTAATGGAAAAACCATTAGATGGGGTCTAGTCTAATCCAGGGTTCTCCTGGAGGACTTTCCACCATTTGAAGAGGCTCCAGGCCCCAAATGGAGCAAGTGACAGTTAAGGCAGAGGCAAAAAAGCACCAGCCTTTGGTTCAGGCACAGGGTCAAGTCCTTGCTGCCCCATCCAGTCATGCTTTAATTCTGCAAACATAGTAAGCACTTGTTCACAGTACTGGAATGGAACCCAGCGCCTCACCAATGCTAGCAAGTGCTCTATCACGCCCAGGCCCCTCTCAAGCACTGTTCTGTACAGTTGGATACTGGAAGCATTGTTGTGAAAAAGAAAAGTGATACCTATAATCCCAGAATTTGGGAGGCGGAGGCAGGAAGATTAGGAGTTCAAAGTCATCCTTGAAAGCCAGACTGGGCTACCTGAGTCTCAAAAAGCTAAAAAAGGAAAGAAAACAAAACAAAACAAAAAAATCAGTCAGTTGATAAAGTGCTCATGAAAAAAAAACAAAAGGTGATCAGGTTTATGTAATTAAGAGACACTTGAGCCAAGATTTAGAGGGAGGTGAGGAATTTGACTCTGAGAGACCCAGAGAAGAAATGGCACTTTAAGTTTCACTCTGAGTGCAGTGCTTTGGAAGCCACTGGAAGGCTGAGCAGAGAAGTAAACCAGAGATCTTCCTGCCTCTACTGTGGTTTTTTGTTTTACTACTCATTATAGAAACTGCAGTTGGCTGCCTTCTACCAACCATGTTTGTGACTCCAAGTCAAGGTCCCTTTCTTTGGTTTTTTTTTTTTTTTTTTTTTTTTTGGTTTGATTTTCAGCAGTACTGGGATCAGGCCCGGGGCCTTGCACATGCTAGGCAAGTGCTCTACCGCTGACCTTTTTTACTTTTTATTTGGGATGGGATCTTATTCGTTAGCCTTGGCTGACCTTGAATTCACTCTGTAATCCAGGCTGGCCTGAAACTTGTGGTTCTCCTGCCTCAGCCTCCCGAGTAGTTAGAATTGCAGGCTTGTGCCCCAGGCTTGGGTTGCATTGTGTTTTAAAAGGATTCTTCTGGGCTAAGCATGCTGGTGCCTGCCTGTAATCCCAAAACATGGGAGGCAGAGTCAGGACGATTGTGAATTCCAGGCCAGCCTGTGCTATGTAATGAGACCTTGTCAAAAACAAAATGAAACAATAGGTCCTTCTGTCTGTGTGGTAAAGTGCACTCTGTGGAACTGGACACAAGAGAAGCAACTGAAGGGCAAGAGATGACAAAGGCTCATCTTGGGTGATGTCCATGTAAAGGGGATAAGAAATGGTCAGATTCTGGGGCTTTTTTTCTTTCTTTAAGATGTAGTCTCCAAGAAAGTTGTAGGGTTTGAGAGATACCAAGGAGAGGGTCTTGATCACTGGAAGGATCTGAGGAGAGGGTCCTGGGGAGCCAGTAGCACCTGGTTGGGAACTCCTGTTTGACTTCTGGAATGTGGCATTTGCACCAGGGGCTCAGGGCTGAGTAGTTCCTCCTGTATTGCCTCTTGCTTCCTCACTGGCTTTGAGAAGACTCTCCAAGGGGCTGAGACAGCCCAAGAGGTGGGATTCCCCCTTACCAGGGTGCCCTTCATAAAGAAGGAAACTAGCTGAGCCCAAGGGGTCTCTGCAGCACAGACCCTGTGTGAGCTCTGCCAGCCTACTAGCCTCAGGCAATTCCTGGATTCTCTTTTGTTCCCATACTTGAGTACCTTGTCCCTAGGTCCCCAGCAGAGGCCCCACACCCCGAGGCCTGGCTTTGGTCTAGGGAGGAGGCCTCTGCAATGCCCCCTGGTGGCATATGTAGACCTGACAACTTCTCTCTTTTTTCCCCATTCAGCGAGACTGTCAAAACTACATCAAGATCCTTCTGCCCCTCAACAGCAGCCACCTGCTCACCTGTGGCACAGCAGCCTTCAGCCCCCTGTGCACCTACATTGTGAGTTTCCCCCGCTACGCTGGGGCATGCCTGCCGCTGGCTGGGGCACAGCCTTTCCTGCCAGGGCATCTCTTCTTTAGCCCCAACTCCTGCTGAAGGGAGGAACTCCAGGGTAGGCCTGTAGGTAGCAGTGGGCTTGTAAGAGCCCTGAGACCACCACCCTGGCTCTCACCCAACCCCATAGCAAGAGTCTCTCTACTGGGGCAAGAAGGGTACATACAGCCACCTTGTCCAGAGAGCCTGACTCTCAACTCCCTGCCTCTTCTGCCCTCCAGCTTCTTTCTCTTGCTGTCTTTGAGGTACTCGGGTTATCTTGTACACTCCTCAGCACACATGTACCCTGTGTTCCTCCTCTGTACCCTAACTGTCTCTAGCAGAGGGCGGCATTAAAGCTGTGTATCAGAACATTTCTTGGAGTCATAGACTCCTGGGTTTGCATCATGTTGCTCTCCCTGGCTCCAGTCACTTTCCAAGCCTCATCTTCCCCCTGCTCACTGGGGCTTAGTGCCCACTGCATGCATGTGGCCAGACCATGGGGTGAGGAGGACAAGCACTTTGACACCCACACCTTTCTCTCCTGCCTTCAACTTCCCTATTGTGTGCTTCCTCATTCCCTGCTGGAGCCTGAACCACCTGTCTACTCCCCTACAGAACATAGCAAACTTCACTCTAGCACAGGATGAGGCTGGCAATGTCCTCCTGGAGGATGGCAAGGGCCGTTGTCCCTTTGATCCCAACTTCAAGTCTACAGCCCTGGTGGTTGGTGAGTGATGTAGAAACCCAGTGCTGTGGAATTCCATGGGATCAGGGTGCACAGTGTTGGAGGGCTGTGGTTGGGCTCTGGGCCATGTGAATACCAGGCCTAAGCTGGTGACTCTATGCTGTGCTGATTCCCGGGGGCATCAAATGACCCTGAGCTGCCCTTCAGTTTAACTCCTCCAAGTTCTTGCTTCCGTCTAGGCAGGATGGTTGGGGCTGGGGTCACTTTGGGCTCTGAGCAGGGAGCAGGGGCTGGGCCAAGGGAGTAATTCCCATGGGAACGTTCTCTTGGCAGATGGTGAGCTGTACACTGGAACAGTTAGCAGCTTCCAGGGAACCGACCCAGCCATTTCCCGGAGCCAGAGCCCCCGCCCTACCAAGACCGAGAGCTCCCTCAACTGGCTACAAGGTGGAGTTCTGCCTCTGCCCACTAGGCTGGCCCTTGGGAAGGGACATTCACCCCAGAGGTTCCTGAACTGACTCTGTGCCCTGCACTGGCCTCCACAGACCCTGCCTTTGTAGCCTCAGCCTACATTTCTGAGAGCCTGGGAAGCTTGCACGGTGATGACGATAAAATCTACTTTTTCTTCAGTGAGACAGGCCAGGAGTTTGAGTTCTTTGAGAACACCATTGTATCCCGAGTTGCCCGTGTTTGCAAGGTAAGTGGGGTGGGCTGCCAGCTTGAAGGGCATCCTGCATCTGTGACCTTCCTCATCTTCTGGGGAGCAACAGCTTAGCCAATGGCCTTTCTCCTTCCTTTTGATCTAAAAGGTCTCTTATTGGAGGTGACAGTACAACCTGAAATTTTGATACTCGGGAAGCTGAGATAGAGACTCTCAGTTTAAGGTCAGCCTGGCCTATGTATTGAGTTTGAGGCTAGCCTGGGCCACATAAAAAGATCCTATCTTAAAAACTTTCTTGGACTAGGGAGATGATTCATCATTAAAGAGCACTGGCTACTCTTGCAGAGGACCCGGGTTCAGTTCTCAGAACCCACATGGTGGCTAACAACCATCCTAACTCCAGTTCCAGTGGATCTGACACCCCCTTCTGACATCTGTGGGCATGATAAGACACGGGTGCACTTACATATGTGTAGGCATGACATTCATAAACATAAAATAATAAATAAAATATTTTTTAAAAACTTCCTGAATAGCTCCTCTCCCCTCATTAGATTCTTACATAGCCCAGGCTAGCCTCAAATTTACCATGTAATCCAGGATGACAATAAACTTCTGATCCTTTTGCTCTCCTCTGGGAGATTTTATGTGGTGCTGGGGATCAAGCCCAGGGTTTTGTGAATACTTGGGAGGCGTTCTACCAACTGAGCTACATACCCTTGGGAAGAAAGCCCTAGGCTTTCTCTTGAAAACTGAAAATATAAGAAAGTACACATAAAAGTAATCTGAAAGGTAAAGAAACTGTGTAGCATTATGCTCAAAAGCACAGGTTTTTTTTTTTTTAAGTCTTTTTGGGACAGGGTCTCCCTGTAGCACCAGCTGGCCTGGAATGCACTAAGTAGACCAGGCTGACCTCGATTGCACAGAGATCCACTTGACTTTGCCTCTCAGGTGCTGGGTTTAAAGACATATGGTACCACTCCTGACTAGGAGCATAGACTCTTACTGCAGAGTTCTGATTCAAACTGTGCTTACTCATCTGTTAAACAGAAATAACACCACCAGCCTCAGAGCTGTTCCACAGACTAAGTTCTGCCATGTGAAGCTCCTAGGATCATGGAAAACACTTAATGTGATAAACCTTTTTCCCCCAAGAAAGGAATTATTGTTAATGTTCCAAATGTTTTTTGCTGATCTTTTTTTTTTTTTTTTTTTTTTTTGAGATAGGGTCTTCCTGTAGCCCCAGCTGGCCTGGAACTCGCTATGTAAATCAGGCTGGCTTCAAACTCACAGAGATTCGCCTGCTTCTGCCTCCCAAGTGGTGGGACTAAAGGCATGTGCCACCATGCCCGGCTTCTTTGCTGATCTTTTAAAACTATATGCATCTATACTAACTTAGTTAAAAATTTGTGTTGGGCTATATTGAGGTGCTTTGGATTTCTTGTTTGCCCAGTAGTCAATCTTGGACACCTTTTCCTATTATTTA